TATTTTTAAAGCAGAGAATTTATATTTATAAAACAGAATTTGTGTAATTCTCTATGCCATTGATGACAATTTCCTAATCTGAATCTGTCGACTTTAACAATTAATCTCTCGATTCACAAAGAGCGACATTTTTTTTTGACAGATTTGTTCATTTCGTGCAAAAACACGAGTAAGTCTAATTTCATTAATTTTTGAAGTGCAAGGGGATAAACTGAATATTTAATGATAATTGTTTAGAAGAACTGCCATATTCAATTTCAATGAAATTAAGTCCATTTAACAGAACATTTCATAGAAACATTAATTATTAAATAAAAATTGAAAAATTTGATTGCCAAAAAATTATGTGATCGTCCAAAAATTTAGTTTAACGACCTATATGAGGACAATTACAAATTCATTTCAGAAAACGATAAGAGACTTACCTGCCCTTAGTGTCGGATCCGTCACTGATATTATTAGGTGGCTGATTTTGTCCTGCTGATTCCATTTCGACCGATCTCGGCCTCTGGACGCGTGACCGGTGGGACGCTCAGTAAAAATTCTGTGCAGCTATTCTGTGCAGCTAGTTATCACCGCGTTGTACGATGTTGTATGATATACTCGTAATGAATAAACGAGTCATATCATCGCACACTCATACTGGAAAGTTTAACCAAGAAAGAAGACGACACTTTTGCCGAATTGGCGATTATTTATCGCACACAACACAAGCAAGATTCGCACAACCTGTGCGATGATCTTGCTCAGGCTGCGTTCGGAAATATCACCGAAGTGACCAAAGTTGCCCCCATGGTTGCGTTCCAAAATTCAACTCTGAGCTTTCCAATTGCAATATCCCTAGATACTTTCGTGCACACGGCGATACAAGAGTTGAAGTTCCATTCCAATTGCCTATCGTCGATATATCTACATATCTATACTTAGCGAGGACTGTGTAGCATGTTTTCTAGTGACAATTACATGTTACTAATCACGACGGTTATAAATTATAAAAGATTGGAGAACGTTGAGTGGCCGACACTTTTAATTTTTTTTTATTTAATACAAATGGAGAAAGCTACATTTAATCTAACTCTATTCGAAACGGATCTCAACCGTGCACAGCGTACACATTCTATTCCAATTCAATCGTACACAATGTTACATTTTGTATATTCGTGTGTACATTACACATTCCTGTGTGTATTCCTGTGTGAATATGGTCAACGCTATTCTACAAATGCTTTACAGCAATTTTTGATTGGTCAATTTGCAAAATTCTTTTTTCTAATTGGCCAAACGCTTTAAAGCATCTGTGGTGAAACTTTGACCGCAGCCTATATTAAGCAATTGGAAAGCATTGCGCATAATGGCGAGGTAGCAGGAATCAATCACAAAATTTTTCCCAAATTAACACAGAATTCAAATAAAATGTTTGTAAAAATGTATAAATAATAATGTATAAAATAATAATGTATAAATAATAATGTAATGTATAAAAAATGTATAAAAAATGTATAGATACATAAACTTGGTAATTATTTAGAAAACCTCCCTCCCCACCTCAAATCTTACTAAAAATATACTTATTCATATGTTTTCACTCAAAACGAAAGAATCTGGCGAATGATGCGGCAGTCGGCCTCGTGAATCGAGTTATTAAGCATTAACGTTGGAGACTTTAAAAGTTAAGATATCTGTCATCTCGATTTGATACAGCTCTATGTATACGTTCTGTATATTAATTACACAAATTCATTGCTTTAAAAACACAAATGCACTGCTTCAAAAATTCACTGCTTTAAAAACACAAATTTACTGCTTTAAAAAGAAATTCTCTGCTTCACAAACACAAATTCACTACTAATTCAAAGAATTTGTATCCTTAAGGCCATGATGGAAATATACAAGGTGAACCATTGCGCATAATGGCGGCATTGAGGATGTGGTTTAAAATTTCAATCAATCAGTTGTTATCCAAGCGGAGACGCTTATGATATTATTTTTACGTTAGAAACAATTTAATTTCAATGTAATTTTTTAAATTAATGGAAATAGTTATTACCATATGTAATACCTTGTCATCCTTGCAACAAGCCTCCAACCATTTCAAACACAACTCTTGATCTTTAGGGAATGAGAAGAGACTTCACATTCTTATTAAACACATAATTTGTACAACTTTTACAATTTTTTATGAAACAATTTGGCATGTTGACACTTTGATATTTTTAAGATACGACGATACGTACGATGGCAACACGTGGCAATACTCAGTGTCGGCCATTTTGAATTTTGCATCATGAGTAAAAGCTGATTGGTTCATTGCTCTCCACACTTTTGAACGACTGCGCATCCACCGTAATGATTCACCTTATATATTTCCACCGTGCTTAAGGCTAACATTCCATGAGTTTTTTATCGTACGATGAATTTTTCAAGCGTCAATTAACTGCATGACGGAGAGAATCTCGGACCTCTTTGTTCTATAGCCAATCGACAAACTTAAAAAAATTGTGCGACAAAAACGGATGTTCGTGGGTCATTTGATAAGTTTGGTAAATTTCCATGAAATGGCGCTACAATCCATTTGATGACGCGACATCTCGAAAAATCCACTCTTCGAATCCCTTCAGGCTAAATTTCAGAAAGGACGCACAGTTCACGTTTGGTAGTCATTTGAAGTAGGCTGTCTCAAAGTTTGCAAAATACTCATTGACGGCGACAATGACTTCCTCATTTGACGAGAATTTCTTCCCACCGAGCCAAGTTTTTAAGTTTGGGAACAGAAAGAAGTCACACGGGGCCAAATCCAGAGAATAGGGTTGATGAAGAATCAATTCATAGCCCAATTCGTAGTTTTGTTATTGCAACGGTCGACTTGAGGAACGGCGCGTCTTGATAGAAGAGCACTTTTTTGCGCGCCAATCTCGCTTCAAATGACTACCAAACGTGAACTATGTGTCCTTTCTGGCTGAAATTTGTCCTGAAGGAGTTCGAAGAGTGGATCTTTCGAGATGTCGTGTCATGAAATGGATTGTAGCGCCATTTCATGGAAATTTACCAAACTTATCAAACGACCCACGTACGCTCGCAAACGAGAATGGATTGAAATATTTTTTTATTCGAATGCGTATTTTAAATAGCAAATACTTTTTTGAATTTAATTGAATTCAATTAGATTCAATTGGATTAAAAAACTTTCCTATTCAAAATTATGGATTGAACAGAATTCACATGTGGTTTTGTGTGTGTGTGTGTGTGTGTGTGTGTGTGGTGTGTGTGTGGTGTGTGTGTGTGTGGTGTGCGTGTGTGTGTGGCGTGTGTGGTGTGTGTGTGTGGTGTGCGTGTGTGTGTGGCGTGTGTGGTGTGTGTGTGTGTGGTGTGCGTGTGTGTGTGGCGTGTGTGGTGTGTGTGTGTGGTGTGCGTGTGTGTGTGGCGTGTGTGGTGTGTGTGTGTGTGTGGTGTGCAGAAAAAGCTAACAATATTTTGAGATTGAAAGGCATAGAGATGTGCTCCATGCAATTCCTATAAATGAATAAAAATACATTCAGGATTGAAAAACATTCATTTTAACATTCGTGAATCAATATTTCTGAAAATATCTGAATCCATTTCAATTCATTTCAATTTATTCTCGTTTGCTAGGTAATATTGGCCTAAAGCAGTGAATTTTTATTTGTAAAGCAGTGAATTTTTATTAGTAAAGCAATGAATTTGTGTAATTAATGCAGAACGTATACATAGCGCTATATTGAATCGGAATGACAGATATCTTAATCTTTAAAATCTCTAACATTAAAGCTTAATAACCTTAAAGTATATATATTGGAAGAGGAATTGCCTATGCTGTCTATAGATCAAAAGCATGTTCAAGATCTGTTGCGAGAAAAAAAGGTGTAAATTCTAATCGTTCTCTGTGCGCATGTGTCACGCAACTGAGCTTAACATATAAAATCCTGTTCATTGAGAGTTGAGGCCTTGCCAACAGTTAGTTTATCTGAATGTAAAGTTTTGCATTTTATTTTAAAAAATGCCCTGTTTATTGTGTTTTGTGCGGCAATCGTAATAAATTGATTTCTTATTATACGTAAGTATAAATGTAATATTTTGTGTCTATTTATATTATGTAATGAAATGTAGCCCAGCAAAAGAGAATGGATTAAAATGGATTAAAATTTTTTTAATGCGTACTTTAAATTCATGAAAATGGGTTGAATGGATTGAAATTGGATCCGAGCTGACATCCTTGACGAAAATAAAAAAATTTCATAAACGTTTGTTTAACGTTTACATGAGCGTTTGCGGAAGTTCATTGAGAATTTAAAAACGGTCACTAGAATATTCATAAAGCGGAAATTGCAACATTCCAACGTTTGGAAGGCATTTTCTGATGAAAATAAGAAGTTTCATGAATGTTTGTTTAATGTTTACATGAGCGTTTGCAGGAATTTATTGAGAATTTAGAAACGACCATTCATAAAACGGAAATTGCAACGTTTGGAAGATATTTTCTGAAAATAAAAAGTTTCATGAATATTTGTTTACGTGAACGTTCAGTTCAAGTATTGAGTCTGTTAAACTCAGACATTTTATCAAAAAAAAAGATACAAAATTTTTCACTGAAAAGTCTCGTACTGCGCCTTTCATCCTATTCGATGTGATTTTTTAAATGTGAGAAATTGAATTTCTCTGTATCCTTCTAGTAGTGATGTTGCACACTGCTTGAAAATTAGATATGTACAAGAATGTTTGCTAACCGCGTGCGCGCGCGCACGAAGGAAAACGCTTGTGTTATAGAGAAAAAAATCATTTTTTGGGCGTTTCAAAGTTTGTAAACGCCTTACAAAATGTTTACTAAAACTCAATTACTCGCTACATTGAAACAGCGTTTGTTAAACGGAAGAAAAATGCTTGTCTCACGGTATTGAGAAAAGCGTTTACTAAATGTTTGAAAAGTCATCTAACGATGAACTCTTTGCACGATGGTGCATCAGCATTTACTGAGCATCTTTGTAAAGCGTTGCTTTAGCATTACAAAACTTTCATGAAACGATATATACTGTATTCATAAACGTTCTGAAAGTGTTTCAAACCCAATGGTGTTCTATAAGCGTTTTTATAAAGTTTGAAAACGTATAAACTTTTAAAAAATTATCATCAACGTTTTATAAAGTTCCGTATTTTCGTCAGGGACTAATTTAATATTCGAAAAAAAAAACATATTTAAGGGTTACTAATTTTATTCTTAAGACATTTATAATAATTATACATTTATAATAATTATATCTGAAATTAACTACTTCAAATTGATATTAAAAAATGCATCTTACTAGGATTCGAACCTAGGACCTCAGGATTATAAATCTTCTACGTTATCCGTACATCACTTCTTCAATTGGTAATTAAATGTTATTCATTCTCTTCAATTATCAACTAGTAACGAAATTATATAGATATATTAGGTGTACAACTTTGCTTCTGCCGTTTTCCTATAGATGGCTTTAGCGGTAAGTGGTGGTCGAATAAATAGATCATAGACGTCATACAATAAACTTGGGCATCTGTCAACATAACCCCATAGAAACATTAGTCGATTTGTGTCTGCATCATAAAGTTATTCTCGATTGAAAATGTCAGTTTACGAGCCAAATTCTCGTCATTTGCGGGAGGTTTTAATTTTTTGCTTCAATATGAAGAAATTTGCGGCTGAGGCTCATCGAATGCTCTCAAATACTTATGGTGTGGCCG